GGAATAAATTTGCAGGCAAGAATAGAAAACTGTAGCAGACCCTGGCAGAGAGGAGAGCAGAGGCCAGTCCTCCTCCTCCTGTCCTCCTCCTCCTCCCGTCTTCTTCTTCTTCTTCTTAAACATGCGTTTATTAATTTTTTTAATCATCTTTGAAATGCAAGAGAAAGGCCACAATATAATTTGCAGTTTAGGGCGCAATTTAGCAGTGTGGTGTGTGCAAAGTTTCAGATTGATCCTGTGAAGCATTGCAATACTGGGCTATTTTGTATCAAGTCTGCTAAATGTGCAGAATTGGTCAATTGATACCATTTTCAAGTACATAACTATAGAGAACATACAAAAATGATATGGTAATACAAAATGTAAGTTTACACACTCCCAGGAATGTCATACATGATGGATCATTCGCTTATACACTAACTTACACATCTAGATGGCCGGAGCGGGGTGGGTGTGGACAGCAAGGGTTCAAACTGTAGAACCCAGTTCCTACATTTTAATATAAACATGGATTTTTATCAAATAAAACTATGCTACATTTTATCTTTGGGGACCCTCAGGATGACATATCAGAGCAAGATTACTGAATGTAAGTACATTATTTACCTTCAGAGGTGAATGTATCAAACCAGTTGCCGTGATGTTTTTTGTTGTTGTGCACTTTCCTCAAACAATAGCACTGTAATAGCGACTGCTAACTTGGACAGTGCAGTTTAGATGTAACAAAATTTAATCTTTCTGCCCATATAAGACATGTCTATGTCCTGGAAAGTTTGCTGTTACTTACAACAGTCATGCTAATCACATGAGAGAGAGAGAGAGAGAGGATAGAGATGAGAGAGAGAGAGGAGAGAAGAGAGAGAGCGAGTAGAGAGAGAGAGGAGAGAGAGAGAGGATAGGAGAGAGAGAGAGAGAGAGAGATGAGAGAGAGAGAGAGAGCGAGAGAGAGAGAGAGAGAGAGAGAGCTAGAGAGAGAGAGGAGAGACGGAGAGAGAGAGATCAAAGACATTGCTCCTGCATTTTTAACAAAAATATAGATTTAGATAAAGTAGGATTTTTTGGCAGGGACATATACAGGATGCTACCCTCCACAACATAACCTTTATTCCAAACCAAAACTCCAAACCTACAACCTGATTTTGGACGGAATTACCTGGAAAGCTTTCTACTACCAAGGATTACTATTCTCAAACTATACAGCAAATGCTCTGGAAAACAAACAGAAACCTGAAAACACCATCTAACCTGGAACTGAGTGAGTAATGTTTAGTATGAAGCTATTTTTCACTTTCAAAAACCAAGAAGAAAAATTCATTACAATGATATATTTTATATTATAAGGACTGAATTCTAAGGCTACCAAGCTTAAGCTTGCTACAAAGAGATACAATTTCAATTAGCACTGACGTGTGAAGTGAGAGGTGTCAAAGCCCTTGAGCCCAACAATGGCAGGAGAGTCGTACAGTCTACCCCAACTAGAGGCCTTAGAAGAGGCCTTAGAAGCACCCCCCCCACTGTTCAGAGGTCATTAAAATACAGTACCCTCTGAATGTAAAAAACGACAAGACACGAAAAGAGTACAAATTGAAACTTCTTTTGGGGAAGCACGAGACACTTTTTGCTGATTTGTATAAAAATGGGAACATAAGCAACCTTATCTTCCACACAGACCATCCCCTGGCATGGCACAGTGCTATACTAGCACACTACCCCTCTGTTAAGAGGGGGGGTGTTAGCGACGGGTGGAAACTCAGGATACTGGACAACGAGGACTCTGAGTCGTCTAATATTAATCTCTATAAATCTGGAACCGTTTTGGTTCAAGGCAACACCAAACAGTTCCAGCTGGACTTTCACCTAATCAAAGAAATAGCTCAGCAGGAGAAGCTGTCCCTTGAGAAAGATACCCCTACCCCGAGCGGGTCAGACCAGACCTCTTCATTAAATAACCCCACAGAGCAACCCCAAGCAGAAACTCAACTTCCCATTGAAATGAAGGATAAATTCACCCAGCTGGAGGTAAGGCAGGTGGAGCTGGAACAGCAGGTGAACACACTCCAGTCAGCACAGACCCAGACAACAGTCCAGCACAACAACACCCCCTTAACTAGACCTGGAGAGCTGCAGGTGGAGAGAGACATGTCTGCACTCTGGACTGTGGTGAGACAACATCAACAGGAGAAAGAGCAGGAGCAGGAGAAGAACAGAGAACTAGAGGAGAGGATCAGAGTGCTGGAGGAGAAGGTGAGAACGATGACGGGTGACATTGAACAACCCATTAGAGAACAGCCCACCTCAGATCCTGGCCAAAGTCTCGACACCGCAGCAGAACAGTACACCCTAGACCCTGACCATAGCCTCGACATCACACCCAGACAAACAAATGAAGAACCCCAAGCCCTGGGGACCCCAACCCCTCTGAGCAACCCCCCAGTCAGACACCCTGATAGTCCTCATGACGACCCCCCCACACCCACTGAGGACATACACAAGCCACAGATTGTACTCCTTATGGACTCAAACGGGAAATACATACAAGAAAATAAACTTTTTCCAAAACACACAGTGTCTAAACTCTGGTGTCCAAATACCCAGCGCGCCCTAGACCTTCTGTCTAAGGACCGACTAGGATCACCCAGCCACATAATAATACACACAGGCACAAACGACCTGAGAACACAGCAGGAAAGGGTTAATTTGTGGAATTTATTTCCTTCTTAATGCGTTTGACCCAATCAGTTGTGTTGTGACAAGGTAGGGGGGGTATACAGAAGTTTGCCCTATTTGGTAAAAGACCAAGTCCATATTATGGCAAGAACAGCTCAAATAAGCAAAGAGAAACGACAGTCCATCATTACTTTAAGGCAAGAAGGTCAGTCTATATGGAAAATGTCAAGAACTTTGAATGTTTCTTCAAGTGCAGTCGCAAAAACCATCAAGAGCCAAGATGAAACTGGCTCTCATAAGGACTGCCACAGGAATGAAGACCCAGAGTTACCTCTGCTGCAGAGGGGACGTTCATTAGAGTTACCAGCCTCAGAAATTGCAGCCCAAATAAATGCTTCAAAGAGTTCAAGTAACAGTCCCATCTGAACATCAGCTGCTTTTCAGAGGACACTGTGTGAATCAGGCCTTCTGGTCGAATTGCTGCAAAGAAACCACTACTAAAGGACACCAATGAGAAGAAGAGACAAGCTTGGGCCAAGAAACACGAGCAATGGACATTAGACCGGTGGAAATGTGTCCTTTGGTCTGGAGTCCAAATTTGAGATGACTAGTTCCAACCGCTGTGTCTTTGTGAGACGCGTTGTGGGTGAATGGATGATCTTCACTTGTGCATTGCCCACCGTAAAGCATGGAGGTGGAGGTGTCATGTTATGGGGGTGCTTTGCAGGTGTCACTGTCTGTGATTTATTTAGAATTCAAGGCACACTTAACCAGCATGGCTAACACAGCATTCTGCAGCGATACGCCATCCCATCTGGTTTTGGCTTAGTGGGACTATCATTTGTTTTTCAACAGGACAATGACCCAACACACCTCCAGGCTGTGTGTCACGCCCTGGCTCTGGGGACTCTTATATGTTGAGCCAGGGTGTTAGATTCTATGTTTAGTGTTCTATGTTGATGTTCTAGTTTATGTGTTTCTATGTTGGCCGGGGTGGTTCCCAATCAGAGGCAGCTGTGGCTTGTTGTCTCTGATTGGGAACCATACTTAGGCAGCCTGTTTTGCACTTGTTATTTGTGGGATCTTGTTCCGTGTAGGTTTGTGTTTTATGATCGAGGACTTCACGTTTCGTTTTGTTGTTGTGTATAAAGTACTAATTAAAAGATGTACGCATATCACGCTGCGCCTTGGTCCACTTATTACGACGATCGTGACACTGTGTAAGGGCTATTTTACCAAGAAGGACAGTGATGGAGTGCTGCATCAGATGACCTGGCCTCCACAATCCCCCGACCTCAACCCAATTGAGATGGTCTGGGATGAGTTGGACCGCAGAGTGAAAGAAAAGCAGCCAACAAGTGCTCAGCACATGTGGGAACTCCTTCAAGACTATTGGAAAAGCATTCCAGCTGAAGCTGGTTGAGAGAATGCCAAGAGTGTGCAAAGCTGTCATCAAGGCTATTTGAAGAATCTGAAATATAAAATATATTTTGATTTGTTTAACACTTTTTGGATTCCATATGTGTTATTTCATAGTTTTGATGTCTTCACTATTATTCTACAATGTAGAAAATAGTAAAAATATAGAAAAACCCTTGAATGAGTAGGAGTTCTAAAACTTTTGACCGGTAGTGTATATTTATTGGGTCTCCCTAATGGCACTCTATTCCCTACATAGTGCACTACTTTTGACCGGTGCACTATAAAGGGAATAAGGTGCCATTTGAGACGCAGATAAAATAACTGTCAACATTGACACTGACACACACAGTATACATTACGTGGTCCATGCAGTAATCGAACCCACAACTTTGTTGTTGCTAGCACCATGTTATAACCTACTGAGCCATTGGAACCAACCTCCTGGAAGCCTGTGTCGGTGGCTTTTGCCCGGTACTGGATCATGTAGTAGGACACGGGCTCAGGGTTACCAGAGTCCCAGGTTAGGGTCACACTGGTGGCCGTAGTCTCCATCACGATGAGGGAGGTGGGGGGCTTGGGGAGGGCTGGATGGGGGGATAGAGAGAGAGAGAGAGAGAGAGAGAGAGAGAGAGAGAGAGAGAGAGAGAGAGAGAGAGAGAGAGAGAGAGAGAGAGAGAGAGAGAGAGAGAGAGAGAGAGAGAGAGAGAGAGAGAGAGAGAGAGAGAGAGAGAGAGAGAGAGAGAGAGAATAAAATAAAGATGTTATATGAAATGAAATCAAGGCAATCATTGAGTACTGGAGAGTTTTGATGTCTAAAGCAACTACAATACAGCCTAGCCATATTGACAATCAGAGAAGATTACAAAATAAGTGGACAATCACATTTAAAGAAAATGACCTATCAAAAAAAGGGAGAAAATAGGCTTTCTATCTTGTGTCTTTAATATTGTCTAGCAGCATCGCTCCTGACAATATAAATGACGGTAACATTCTCTAAGTCCATGATGCATCCCAAATGGCACCCTATTCCCTATTTAGTGCACTACTTTTGACCACTCTCAGAAAAAACTGTTCCAAAAGGGTTCTTCGGCTGTCCCCATAGGATTACCCTTTTTTGTTTCAGGTGGAATCAAATCAAATCAAATTATATTTGTCACTTGCTTCGTAGACAACAGGTGTAGACTAACAATGAAATGCTTACTTACGGGTCCATTTCCAACAATGTTAAAGATAAGATAATTTTTTAAAATAAAAATAGAAATAGTGACACAAGGAATAAATACACAGTGCAAGAGAGTTAGTGCAAAAAAGGGTCAATGCAGGTATTCTGGGTAGCCATTTGATTAGCTATTTAGCAGTCTTGTTTAGAAGTCTTATAGCTTTGGGGTAGCAGCTGTTCAGGGTCCTGTTGGTTCCAGAGTTGGTGCATTGGTACCGCTTACTGTGCGGAAGCAGAGAACAGTCTGTGGCTTGGGTGGCTGGAGTCTTTGACAATTTATGGGGCCTTCTTCTGACACCTCCTGGTATAGAGGACCTGAATGAAAGGGTTCTACATGGTACCAAAAGGGTTCTACTTGCAACCAAAAAGGGTCTTCAAAGGGTTCTCTTACGTCAAAGAGTTGTCCTATGGAGACAGCCAAAACAACCTTCAAGGTTGAGTGTAGGGAATAGGGTGCCATTTTGGACACAGCCTGTAAGGATCTCATGATGAGTCATCTGTTATGGGACTGACAGACTGTGATGACAAAGACTGCATCTCAAATGGCACCCTATTCCCTACATAGAGCACTACTTTGACCAGAGCCCTATGGGGAATAGAGTGCCATTTGGTGCGCAGACAGAAACTGTGTGTTCTCACATACGCTACAAGCTGTGATGATGATGATGAAGTCTGTTTGATGATAATGTACATAATGTGAATCATGCCAGCTCTTTCCGCTCTTCAAACAGCTTTATATGAGGTTGAGCTAATCAAATAACTTCATTAGTGTGTATGAAGTTTGTGTAAACCAGATGTCTTAGTTTGGACAACTTGAATGTTACTTCAACACACAAACACACCTCTCCACCCCCATACACAGTATCCTTTGACCTCTCACCTTTCACAGTGACCTGAGCGGTAGCCTCGATCATGCCCAGAGATGAAATGGCCACGCAGGTGTAGTTGGCTGACTCCTTGATGTTTGTCACCTCCAGAACATTACGACCGATGGGCATTTCATCCTCCTTCATAAGAATAATCAAAATATAAACGGTCCATTATGTAGCTTTGTGTACGACCTGACATATTTCAGATAGAAATGTGAGTTATAGATCTGTCATTCATTATCATTGAAAGCAAGTATGAAAAAAGGTATCTGTTCTATGTGATATATTTCAATGCTTCCCCCTTTAAACTGAATCCAATACAATTCATACAGAGGTGCTATACATAATAAAACAATAATAACAAATTATTATAAAACAAAGAAACATTTTAAAAAGGTAAAAGCAAAACAGTAAAAGTAAAGACCTTGGTGAGTTCCACAACTCCCATTATCCACTTGACGTAGGGCATGGGTGATCCCACGGCCACACATGTCAGGTTTAAACTACCCCCCGGCATCACCTCGTGGTTGGTGGGCGGGATGGAGAACCGCGGAGGGACGCGACGAACTATGGAGAGGAGGAGAAGAGAATGTTGAGATGAGATCTTGAAAGGTGTAGGTGATATGAGTGTATAGTGTGTGTCCATATATAATATAATAATAATAATATGCCATTTAGCAGACACTTTTATCCAAAGCGACTTACAGTCATGCGTGCATACATTTTTGTGTATGGGTGGTCCCGGGGATCGAACCCACTACCTTGGCGTTACAAGCGCCGTGCTCTACCAGCTGAGCTACAGAGGACCACAAGGATAAGAGAGGAGAAGGTGTGTGTGGATGTCAGGGACATATACAGTTCTGTTCTGTGTTTAGAGGAGAGAGAGAGAGAGAGAGAGAGAGAGAGAGAGAGATAGAGAGAGAGAGAGAGAGAGAGAGAGAGAGAGAGAGAGGGAGAGAGAGAGAGAGAGAGAGAGAGAGAGAGAGAGAGAGAGAGGAGAGATTTTGAGATGTGGCGGTTGTATGAGTTCATAGTGTGGCCATCACTTCTGTGTGTAAGAGGAGAGGGCAAGGGGTGAGTGTGGGGGTCATGGACAGTGAGAGTTCTGTGTTGAATAAACCGTGACCTTGACTTTGACATTACCACGCTTGAAAGAAGAGCAAGAATTTCAGAGATAAGAGATGTGATGTAGATGTGATTTGAGTCTAGCATGTAAGGCTGATCACGTTTCGACTATAATCCAAAAGTGTGAGCAGCATAACCAGTAAAGGAACAATAGCATCTCAACGAGCTGAATTAGGCCATAAGCAAACAAGAAAATGCTAATCCACAAGTGGCGCTCCTAGTGGCCGGGGACTTTAACGCAGGCAAATGTAAATCAGTTTTACCTCATTTCTACCAGCATGTCACATACGCAACCATAGGGAAAAAAAACTGTAGACCACCTTTACTCCACACACAGAGGCGCATACAAAGCTCTCTCTCGCCCTCCATTTGGCAAATCTGACTATAATTATATCAGGAGACAAGCAAAAACTAAAGCAGAAAGCACAGACTGGAATACGTTCCGGGATTCGTCCAATGGCACTGAGGAGTATACCACCACAGTCACCGGCTTCATCAATAAGTGCATTGACGACGTCGTCCCCACAGTGACCGTACGTACATACTCCAACCAGAAGACATGGATTACAGGCAACATCCACTCCGAGCTAAAGGCTAGAGCTCCGCTTTCAAAGAGTGAGACACTAATCTGGATGCTTATAAGAAATCCGCTATGCCCTCAGATGAAACATCAAACAGGCAAAGCGTCAATGCAGGACTAAGATTGAATCCTACTACACCGGCTCTGATGCTTGTCGGATGTGGCAGGGCATGCAAACTATTACGGACTACAAAGGGAAACGCATCCGCGAGCTGCCCAGTGACGCGAGCCTACCAGATGAGCTAAATGCCTTCTATGCTGTCTTCAAGGCAAGCAACACTGAAGCATGCATGAGAGCACCAGCTGTTCCGGACAACTGTGTGATCATGCTCTCCGTAGCCGATGTGAGCAAGACCTTTAAACAAGTCAACATTCACAACACTGCGGGGCCAGATGGATTACCAGGATGTGTACTCAGAGAATGCGCGGACCAACTGGCAAGTGTCTTCACTAACATTTTCAACCTTTCCCTGACCGAGTTTGTAATACTTACATGTTTCAAGTAGACCACCATAGTCCCTGTGCCCAAGAAAGCGAGGGTAACCTGCCTAAATGACTACCGCCACGTTGCACTCACATCGGTAGCCATGAAGTGCTTTGAAAGGCTGGTCATGGCTCACATTAACACCATCATCCCAGAAACCCTAGACCCACTCCAATTCACATACCGCCCCAACAGATCCACAGATGACGCAATCTCAATCGCACTCCACACTGCCCTTTCCCACCTAGACAAAACACCTATGTGAGAATGCTGTTCATTGACTACAGCTCAGGGATCAACACCACAGTGCCCACAAAGCTCATCACTAAGCTAAGGACCCTGGGACTAAACACCTCCCTCTGCAACTGGATCTTGGATTTCCTGACGGGCCGTCCCCAGGTGGTAAGGGTAGGCAACAACACATCTGCCACACTGATCCTCAACACTGGGGCCCATCAGGGCTGCATGCTTAGTCCCCTCCTGTACTCCCTGTTCACCCACGACTGCGTGGCCAAGCACGACTCCAACACCATCATTAGGTTTGCTGACGACACAACAGTGGTAGGCCTGATCACCGACAACAATGAGACAGCCTAAAGGAAGAGGTCAGAGACCTGGCAGTGTGGTGCCAGGACAACAACCTCTCCCTCAATGTGAGCAAGACAAAGGAGCTGGTCATGGACTACAGGAAAAGGAGGCCGAACAATCCCTCATTAACATCAACGGGGCTGCAGTGGAGCCGGTCGAGAGTTTCAAGTTCCTTGGTCTCCACATCACCAACAAACTATCATGGTCCAAACACACCAAGACAGTCATGAAGAGGGCATGACAACACCTTTTCTCCCTCAGGAGACTGAAAAGATTTGGCATGGGTCCCCAGATCCTCAAAAAGTTCTACAGCTGCACCATCGAGAGTATCCTGACTGGTTGCATTACCACCTGGTATGGCAACTGCTCTGCATCCGACCGTAAGGACCTACAGAGGGTGGTGCGTATGGCCCGGTACATCACTAGGGCCAAGCTTCCTGCCATCCAGGACCTATATACTAGGTGGTGTCAGAGGAATGGCCAAAGAATTGTCAAAGACTCCAGTTACCCAAGTCATAGACTATTCTCTCTGCTACCGCACGGCAAGCGGTACCGGAGCGCCTAGTCTAGGTCCAAAAGGCTCCTTAACAGCTTCTACCCCCAAGCCATAAGACTGCTGAACAATTAATAAAATGGCCACCTTGACTATTTACAGTTGAAGTCGGAAGTTTACATACACCTTAGCCAAATACATTTAAACTCAGTTTTTCACAATTCCTGACATTTAATCCTAGTAAAAATTCCCTGTCTTAGGTCAGTTAGGTTCACCACCTTATTTTAAGAATGTGAAATGTCAGAATAATAGTAGAGAGAATGATTTATTTCAGCTTTTATTTCTTTCATCACATTCCCAGTGGGTCAGAAGTTTACATACACTCAATTAGTATTTGGTAGCATTGCCTTTAAATTGTTTAACTTGGGTCAAATGTTTTGGGTAGCCTTCCATAAGCTTCTCACAATAAGTTGGGTAAATTTTGGCCCATTCCTCCTGACAGAGCTGGTGTAACTGAGTCAGGTTTGTAGGCCTCCTTGCTCGCACATGCTTTTTCAGTTCTGCCCACAAATGTTCTATAGGTTTGAGGTCAGGGCTTTGTGATGGCCACTCCAATACCTTGACTTTGTTGTCCTTAAACCATTTTGCCACAACTTTGGAAGTATGTTTGGGGTCATTGTCCATTTGGAAGACCCATTGGCGACCAAGCTTTAACTTCCTGACTGATGTCTTGAGATGTTGCTTCAATATATCATTTTCCTTCCTCATGATGCCATCTATTTTGTGAAGTGCACCAGTCCCTCCTGCAGCAAAGCACCCCCACAGCATGATGCCGCCACCCCCGTCCTTCACGGTTGGGATGGTGTTCTTCGGCTTGCAAGCAACCCCCTTTTTCCTCCAAACATAACGATGGTCATTATGGCCAAACAGTTCTATTTTTGTTTCATCAGACCAGAGGACATTTCTTCAAAAAGTATGATCTTTGTCAACATATGCAGTTGCAAACCGTAGTCTGGCTTTTTTATGGTGGTTATGGAGCAGTGTCTTCTTCCTTGCTGAGCGGCCTTTCAGGTTATGCTGATATAGGACCCGTTTTACTCTGGATATAGATACTTTTGTACCTGTTTCCTCCAGCATCTTCACAAGGTCCTTTGCTGTTGTTCTGGGATTGATTTGCACTTTTCGCACCAAAGTATGTTCATCTCTAGGACACAGAACGCGTCTCCTTCCTGAGCGGTATGACGGCTGCGTGGTTCCATGGTGTTTATACTTGCGTACTATTGTTTGTACAGATGAACGTGGTACCTTCAGGCGTTTGGAAATTGCTCCCAAGGATGAACCAGACTTGTGGAGGTCTACAATTTTTGGGCTGATTTCTTTTGATTTTCCCATGATGTCAAGCACTGAGTTTTAAGGTAGGCCTTGAAATACATCAACAGGTACATCTCCAATTGACTCAAATGATGTCAATTAGCCTTCTAAAGCCATGTCAATCAGAAGCTTCTAAAGCCATGACATCATTTTCTGGAATTATCCAAGCTGTTTAAAGGCAAAGTCAACTTCTGACCCACTGGAATTGTGATACAGTGAATTATAAGTGAAATAATCTGTCTGTAAACAATTGTTGGAAAAATTACTTGTGTCATGCACAAAGTAGATGTCCTAACCGACTTGCCAAACCTATAGTTTGTTAACAAGAAATTTGTGGAGTGGTTGAAAAACGGGTTTTAATGACTCCAACCTAAGTGTATGTAAACTTCCGACTTCAACTTGACTCCGCACCTTTGTTTTTACACTGCTGCTACTCGCTGTTTATTTTCTATGCATATTCACTTTACACCTACCTACATGTACAAATTACCTCGACTAACCTGTAGCCCCGCACATTGACTTGGTACCGGTACCCCCTGTATATAGCCTCGTTATTGTTATTTTATTGTGTTACTCTTTATTTTATTTTATTTTTTACTGTATTTTATTTGGTAAACATGTTCTTAATTCTATTGCTTGAACTGCATTGTTGGTTAAGGGCTTGTAAGTAAGTATTTCACGGTGAGGTCTACACCTGTTATATTCGGCGCATGTGACAAATAAAATTAGATTTGATCTGATCTTTTGTTTAGTGATTTGGAGTTGATCCGAGTTACACACCACTCAGACAACATTTGTTAGTACAACTTTACGATAAAAACCTTATGGACTGCTCCTTATAAAAAGGGGGAATGCATTTAAATATGCCACTTTGATTGGAATAACAGTCTACTAGACTAGGCCTATATCTGTTCCCCTTTAACAGT